GAAGGATGAAATTAAATTAGTCTTCATCTGAACCTTTTTGTGATATCTTATGATCTCGATAACAGTGCATAGGATGCAGATGTCTTGCAGTGGGCAATATCCCAGGCAACGAATCTAACAAAATGAAATAATAAGATACCTGAACATGACATAGGAGCAATGATTGAGCAGGCAGAGGTCCACCACAGAGATTGTGATTATGAGTGCCATCTAGTCGATGAAGAATTGCAGGGACTGTCAACCAGTCCATTCATTCCAAAGAAAAATTGAAAATCAGAAAATTATAACTTGGCATCCCTATTTTTTCCTTCACACAGCATGATTTTAATTTTACCAACTGACTGCAGCTGTCCCATTTGATGTACACCAGTTGCAGAAACCATTTCCTCAAACTATCAACTTGAGATTCTGTCTGCCAGGTCAGGTGAATGTTAAGGATTGCATGTCATTATTCAAAAAATGAAGGGAATTCTCTTACTGTCCTGGCCAACAATTTCCTAGATAAGAATTGGTCATCCAATTTATGGCTATTTGTCAGACACTGCTGTGCACAAAATTGGCTGTCATATTCGCCAACAAATACATAGTCATTACAGTTTACAATAAAAATTCTTTGATGCGCTTTCAGACGTCTTAACAATGTGGTAAGGCACTATATAAGATGCAAAGATTATCACAATAACTGATCTGTGAATATAGAAGAGGTCATCTACAAGCTTCTGAAGTCCACTGATCATGACTGAGAATAGACACCAGTCGTGAATGCCTCATGAAAGTTTGAGTCTCATATCCATAGCAGCAGTACTTCAAAGAGGTGGGGTACTTAAACGTGATGCTCCTATTTTGTTTATGGCTTGTATAAGTAAAGTCTCCACTGTAGGATCCACCTTTGTTACTGTGTCCTGAATGGTAGCCCATAGTGTCATAAAGGCATCCAGTCTACCATTTAATGAATCAATTGGGCAATGACACAGCATATAAGTTCTGAAATTCTGCTATCTGCCCAATGTACCTTCGAATATATTCCAAATTGAGACAAATGACTCCTCAACACAACCCTCCACATTATCTGGCAATAATGTGTTCTTCTAAGACAAAGTAGACAGAACTGGTACAAAATTACACTGGTAACACTTCTCCCTCATATACACACACAGATGCTCTAACATTATTGGTCCATCAAACACTGACACCAATTCAGGGGCGGATTATGCATGAAGGCCCCAACCAAAAATGGTGGTGCGGCAAGTCCAGGCTGTCCCAATGTGGGAGAAACTGCCCTATTCCCAAATGGGGGGCAGTGTGGAGCAGGTGCGGACTCAGTGCATGCTCTCCCCTGGTGCATAGTGGGAAGGGACTAGAGAGTGTTTTTCCGGAAAACTGACAGCGAGCACTAGATGCGGGGCCTGACCCCAGCACCGGCACTGTGCAGACGGGCTCTGGCACTGTGCACAAGGGCCCTGGCACTGTGCAGAGGGGCCCAAGAATGTTTAACCTGGTTCTGCACCAGTGCACATTGATATATAGAATACTCCATAATTAACTAATATTTTCTGCCTTCATATACACACTGAAACGTATGAATACCGTATATTGGAAACAGGATGAAGAAATATCAAAGCCCTGACTTCAATCATTTTGTGGTGATCCCTAATCAGCTCATGTGATAAAATAGGACAGCAAAAAAATGACATGGAGGGATCAATTAATTTCATGGACATCAATCGCCAACAAAATACAGGCAATTTCCTTTATAGTATATTGTGGAGAAGGAAATTTCTTCCATTGTTGCAACAATTCCCCAAATAAAATTGGTTGTTCACTTCATAGCTGTTTGTGGAACATTCTAGGTGCAAATCAGCTGCTGTGTTTCACCCTAAATATACACAACCCTTTCATTTTACAGCATATCCCTTGGAGCGCTTTTAGATGCTGTATCAAATGCGAGGATTATTACTACTATCCCCTGCATAAAAGGTGCATACTTGAATAGAACTCAGTTTTTCTCGGGGCAGCCAATTGAACATACCAGTGCCCCACAAACAATCGTGGGTTGAGCGTCCAATTTCTGTAAAAGGGATTCTTAACCTCTGAAAAGTGACCCCCCAACTGACTAACAATCTGGTTCCTACTCACTGCTGAGCTGAGTAAATAAACCCTGGTGTGTGGGGTAAAGGAATTGCCTGAGGTGTGGCCTTACCCGGGAGGGAGCGCCTTGCCATGCCTTGCCATGCCTTGCCTTGCCTGCAGTCAGGGGACATGGCCAGCAGGGCGCGGTAGCAGTAAGTCAGGACTGCAGCACTGTTCAGCCACTCGCCAACACTTGACGTGAAGTTGTTTGAAGTTGATGGCAACTCCGCGCTTTAATCCTCGTCCCTCCTTCCCCTTGAACTGCTCCGCGTGTACTGTACCTGACATCAGGCCGGAGTTATGTGCCCAGACAGGTGCGCGCAGCCCCAGCCACAGCCCCAGCCCAGCCCCCAACCCCAGCCCAGCGCCAGCCCAGCCCACAGCCCCAGCCCTCAGCCCAGGCTCAGCCCCAGCCCAGCCCCCGCCCGCCAGCCCCAGCCCAGCCCCCAGCCCCAGCCCAGCCTCAGCCTCAGCCCAGCCCCTGCCCCCTAGCACCAGCCCCAGCCCAGCGCCAGCCCCAGGAAAGCCCCCAGACCAGCCTAGCCCCAGCCCCAGCCTCAGCCCTGCCCCAGCCCCAGCCCACAGCCCCAGCTCCTGCACGCCAGCCCCAGCCCAGCCCCTGCCCGCTAGCCCCAGCCCAGCCCCCACCCCCCAGCCCCAGCCCAGCGCCAGCCCACAGCCCAGCCCCAGCCCCAGCCCAGCCTCAGCCCCCGCCCGCCAGCCCCTGCCCAGCCCTGCCCTCCCTGCCCAGCCCAGCACTGCCCTGCCCCAGCCCTGCCCTGCCCTGCCCCACCCCTGCCCTGCCCCAGCCCAGCCCAGCCCTGCCCAGCCCCAGCCCTGCCTTGCCCTGCCCTGCCCAGCCCCAGCCCCAGCCCAGCCCTGCCCTGCCCTGCCCAGCCCTACCCTACCCTGCCCTGCCCAGCCCAGCCCAGCCCCAGCCCTGCCCTGCCCTGCCCAGCCCTGCCCTCCCTGCCCAGCCCTAGCCCTGCCCTGCCCTAGCCCTGCCCTGCCCTGCCCTGCCCTGCCCAGCCCCTGCCCTGCCCAGCCCCAGCCTTGCCCCAGCCCTGCCCTGCCCAGCCCCTGCCCTGCCCAGCCCCAGCCTTGCCCCAGCCCTGCCCTGCCCAGCCCTGCCCTGCCCTGCCCTGCCCTAGCCCTGCCCAGCTCTGCCCCAGCCCTGCCCAGCCCTGCCCAGCCCAGCCCTGCCCAGCCCTGCCCTGCCCTGCCCCAGCCCAGCCCTGCCCAGCCCTGCCCAGCCCAGCCCTGCCCAGCCCTGCCCTGTTCTAAAGGACTTCCCAGGAGAGGAATGCCTTTCCAAGTTATCTCTCCACAAATCCATCCGCATTGACAACAAAAAAAAAACGCCATTTCAATTTAAATCGTAACTCCCAAGAAAATGGGCATCACGTTCGCTGTGTACCCCCACCTTTTTTTTACGGGGCTTTCACAGACCCCACAGGAGGGGTTCCCATCGGGAGTTTTACAATGATCCGAAGGCATCAATATTTGGATTCGTGTTGAAATGATCCAAAAGGCGTAAAAAATATTATTTCTGCGCCTTGAAAATAAAATAAAATAAAATAAGCCGTTCATTTCGGCGGATTAGCAGTAAAAGTCGCAGGTATTTATTTTGTTGGCTCTCAATGCTCTCCCGAGTTTGTTGTTTTAACTATTAACAGCTCAGTTTGCAAAGCCTTCGTGTCATTTCTTCCACCAGAAAAAGAGAGCACAACATTTATTTAATCCCATTGCAAAGCAAATCTCTTGCGAGTTCCGGAGGGGCAGTAAAACCCGCGGGATGTCTCTCGCTCCTCGTGGGGTGCGGATTCTTTAGGAGGTTCCTGGTGTGATGTACCTGTTGCTAAATCCGATGTATTATTATTATTATTATTATTTCGTTCAATCCCCATTTTCCAAAATGTTTGGTAGAACGGCACAGACGAGGAGGAGCGAGTACCGGAGATTCCCAAAGCACAACATCGAATGAACATCTGCATTGACTGTGGAAGAAATATTTGGTTGAAAGTATGGACTGTGTGTGGCACAGCGCCCGACTTACAGCGCTGTTGTTTTTTTTTATTTGGAGCCCAACGCTGAAAAGCATCAAACGATGGGACATCTCAGGTGTGAATCGCCTCCAGTGATCAGTGACACTCACGTACATAACGTGCAGTAACTGGACTGAACTACACTGCGCATCGCGAGTTTACTAACTTACAGTGTTCCTCTTCAAATAAAAACTTTTCAGTTCAAACCCAACCAAAGAGATACCCCCCCACACCCCCCACACCCCCCACACACCCCTCTCCCTCTCTCTCTCTGCCATTGCATTTGGTAGGACCAGACTTTCTGACTTCCCGAAAGTCTCCCCAGGAATGTTGCCCTGAGAGGGGCTGTTACTCGGGTGTACGTACACACACTCTCACACTCACACACTCACACACACACACACTCACTCACACACACTCACACTCGGGGCTGAGAAGCTGAACACCCAAACACTGTGCATCGTGTTCGCTGCCGCGGGAGGAATGCGCTGTGTGCAGACAGACAGCGCAACAAGTCCGGGCACCTCTGCGGCCCGCGACCGCCCCGGTATGCGATCGCTCGCATCCCAACACCTGTCGCTTTGGCGAGGGCTGCCCCAGCCCCAGCCCCAGCCCCCAGCCCCCAGCCCCCAGCCTCCTGCCCCAGCCCCCTGCCCCTCCTAACGCCCTGCCCGGCCCGGCCCTGCCCCTGCCCCCTACCCCCTGCCCGGCCCGGCCGCTCCGAGCCATTGGTCGGAGGAGACGACAGATGCAAATGGTTGTGCGAGCGCCCTCCCCCTGCACCTGACTCGGGAATATTTACAGCACATTTGCAGGAATGCTGCCGCACTCCCAACTGCTGCACCGACTTGACTGACTGCTCGGCACACCAGCACCAGCAGCACCAGCAGCACCAGCACCAGCAGCACCAGCCGACACAAGTTACTCTCATTCCTGCTCACACTCACACTCACCCACTCTAACTTCTGGGTGACTTCTTATCATTCCAATTCCGAGAGATTGTTCCAGGCAAGATTATTTTTCTTTTTAAAAACAATTCCCCTTTCCCCCCACCCCCCCCCCCCTTCCCTCCCCACCCATCCACCCACCCACCCACCCACCAACCGCCCCCAAAAAAATGCCTCGCTCTTTCCTTGTTAAGAAACACTTCAGCACCAGCAAAAAACCAAATTACAGCGAACTGGACACGCAAACAGGTAATGTGCATTTTGCTTGACCGACGTTGTAATTGAAGCAGTGGTTAACATTGCATTACCAATGTGAGCATTTCTTGAAGCCACTTGTTGCAACTGAACGAATGGCTTTTGTGCCTAGAAGTTGGCCAGACTGCAAGTTATTAAGTTAACTTCAGCTACTTTTTTTTAAAAGCGGTGTTAAGCAGAAAACCCGATCACAGATCGGTGCTGGTAAAATTATGCACTGAACTCAATCCGCCCTACTTGTGCAAAATGGAAGCAATACGCCTCTTTCTACTCAAATATCACCGTCCGAGCAAATGTAACGTAAATCGACTTATTTCTTGCAACTTAAAACAGGGTTTGAGTGTTTCAACTTCTGTTCCGTTTCTTTTTTATTTCCAGTTATCATTTCTCCCTATATGTATGACAGTTACCCCATCCCAGTCATTCCACAACCTGAGGTCTTGAGTTCTGGAGCTTACAATCCGGTGAGTGTGTGGAGCAGCGTGTGCCCCGGGATCATCCCCTCGCCCGTCCCGAGCGACCCTGCACCTGCCTCCGACTACTCATCGGTGCACTCTTCGCCCCTCAGTAGCGGCAGCCTGTGCCCGCTCGGTCGGCTCAGTCCTCAGCAGTCCCATTCCGACCGCCTGAACAGGGACCAGAGTGGCTCGGAAACGTCCATCAGCGACGAGGAGGAGCGGATTAGTGCCAAAGTCTCGGATCAACATGCAGTGGAGGCTGAGAAGTTTCAGTGTAACTTGTGCAACAAGGCTTACTCAACCTTCTCGGGACTGGCCAAACACAAGCAGCTGCACTGCGACTCTCAGACTCGAAAATCATTTAGCTGCAAGTACTGTGAGAAGGAGTATGTCAGCCTGGGAGCTTTGAAGATGCACATCAGGACCCACACTCTGCCCTGTGTATGCAAAATCTGTGGCAAGGCATTCTCCAGACCCTGGCTTCTGCAAGGCCACATCAGAACGCACACTGGTGAGTAAACTGCTCAAGTTTCCTTTTTGCAAAATAAATCGATTATATTTTAACATATGCTTTTGCTGGAAATTCATTGTCCATTCACCAAACCAGACTTAACGCTCGCGCTCGAAATGAAGGTTTCATTCTGACCCGGGTTTAGTTTTCACTGGGAAGAAATTCTACTCGAGTTTTAATCTTACTCGTTATTTATGCAGCATTTCAGAATTAGACAAAGTATTCAATTCGGTTCTGGGTTGAAAGCGGTTTTCTTGCACTTTTGAAAAGTAATCCACGAATTTTAGAAGTTAATCGAAAGAGAAACTGTGTTAAATGTTTGAACAGTGGAGTTTGTTTTTGAAACTTCTGCACGAATTTCGATTGCACCAAGGAGGACAGTTTGCNAAAAAAAACACTAGATTTGCAAGCACAACACTGTTGCAAAATCCAATTTAAGACTAAACAAAAAGATTTGTTTGAACCGTGGAAAGATTGTTGTGACTGGCAAATGTTGAGATGCGCCTTTGGGTTGCATTCTCAGTGCCTCCACTGAGTGAAAGGATACGCGGTGCTTTATTTGAAAATGTATGAAGTGGCAAACAGCTGATGTGCAAGGCAAGGCGCACGTATCTTACTGTTAGGAGGACCTCAGTTGGTAGGAACAGGCGGCAATGTCTGAATGCACCTGTTGCAACTGGCCTGCGCAGCACCATCTCACAACCTCACAGTCTGCTTCACCGTCGAGTCCATACTCCCTGAGTAAGCTCAGACGTCTCCTGCCATCCTTCTTAAACAAACAACACGCGTTGTTATAAATACGTCGTGCCATTATTTTTAGGTATACCAGTAATTGGCAGTGCTTTAAATCCCGTTTACCTGACAACAGCATTTGCTAATGGTTCACTCAATAAATGCCATTAGAATGACAACTTTTGTTTGATCAGCCCCTCGAATACTGATCACCATTCTTAAGAGAGTATCCAAAGCAAATGAGAGTTCCATGTGTGCATGCCAACTTAAGTATAATGCAAGTGTTAACTTTACAAGAAGCAGGGACAACACAATAGAATTCAGGTAATTTACCTTTTAGGAATATATTATATATATACGTATATAAGAAATAATGTTATGCTACTTCAGTGTAAATTGTTATTTCATATGAGATGTTTCATGCAGCTGAAATGAAATAAAATAAAGTTTTTTTTTCCCCCCATTCATTTCCAGGTGAGAAACCCTTCTCATGTCCTCACTGCAGCAGAGCTTTCGCTGATCGATCTAACCTGAGGGCACATCTTCAGACACATTCGGACGTGAAAAAATACCAGTGCAAAAACTGCGCCAAAACTTTCTCCAGAATGTCTCTGCTTCATAAGCACGAGGAATCGGGATGCTGCCTAGCCCACTGAAGGAAGGAACTGCACAAAGGACTAATTGTAACTTTGCTTTCATGTCTTCTCCTCTCCAAGCATTCCAGTTGCTCTGGTGAACCAGGAGTTTGGTTCCTTGAAACTGTTGGGAGACAACTTCTGTAACGTTCAATTGAGGTGAAAATCTTGAAAAGCGGGATTTTGATTATAATATAGTTTTAATAAGATGGACTGCACACACCAAAGAACACCTCACATCACATTCCATGTAATACATCCCTCTTGGTGCCTTCTGTTGTTGCAATTGTACATTTATGTCCATATATAATGTAAATATTCTATTTTTGTATTTGAATGCATTTTGTCAAAAAAATGAACTGAATGCATTAGTGCACGTAGACACTTAAAAGCAAACCTGTACAGATTAAGGCTTGTTTGTTGGAAGCCTGCAGTTTAATATGTTTAACTATGCATTTTCCATCCACTTTTTTTAATTAAGCAAATGTGTTTTTCTACAATAAATACGCAATGCTACTTTTTTTTACAATAAACATTTTTTTTAAAATTAGATTTCCTTTTGTGTGGCATTCCTTTCTGGGGAACATGTTAGGGATGTGCAAGGGTAGGTAGGTGTAAGACAGACCTCAATACACAAATGGTCATACAGGGTTAGCTTTGTTTGCGTGAAACGCTAGCTGTTAAATCCCATCTGTTTAAGATCAAAGATGTGAAGTATCCACATCAACAGCAAATCCACAGGACCCCAGTTCAGGAAATGACCATTTTCTTGCTGAGGTATGTCTCGAAATGGAAAGCCAATGGAAATCTGTACTTTCATCGTTCAGCACACAGATACACTATTGAATACCGGTACATTCAAAGTTAATGTAAAGTGGAATCCTGAAATAGAAACAGAAACAAGGAAATGCACAGCAGGTGTATAGGCATCTGAAAGCCAAAGCTAACAGTGGGTATCCTTCCGGGTGTGACCCTTCATCAGAGCTGGTGATGTTCCAGTGTATTAGTACCAGGGAAATCAGCACACCCCATGCCATGCCGAGTAACCACACTGCCACTATTTTCAACCCGATTTGCTCATTCGATTTTTTTAAAAAATGGCAACGTAGCTTTCTTTGCCAACGCAGTATGTGCACAATTTCCTCCTTTGTATCTTGGAGGTCCTGTAATCGAGTGACTTTTCGACTTGTTGGGGTGTATTGGCTGTTTTATTGTTAGCTAAAGACGGGGTGGATACCTGTGAGTTTGCCAATAGTGTAAGAGTAGCAGAAGAGTTTACCAGCTCTAGATTGGCTTTTTTTTGTAATAGTGTGTGCAACTGAATACGAAAATGGATAGCAGACAAACCAAATTAACCCAATCTACTCTTGATTTTGCAAATACAATGTTGCAAGAGTTTATTACTGCAAGGAACTGTTTTGATCTCTCAGTTTGAGTGGTTCTCAGCAGGCTGGAGACAGTTGTGTAACGCACCAAGCCTTCCAAATTAAATTTTAAGTGGTTTGCAAGAGGTTAGCACCGCAGATTAACTGCACAATCTCGTCGCCTGGTTTTGATCAGAAGATAACAGCTTTATGGTAGCCTGGCAAGTACAGTGTGATGCTGATCAGATCTGCTTTGGCAATTTATCGAAATACCTCGTCACGAAGGATTGCGGGATCGTTTTCTTAAGAAAAACAATGACAATCTGAAATCGTCGTTCATTCGAAGTTACCAAACGATCTCGGAATGAAAGGAAAACGGTGGCTAAAAGCTTCAGTGTTGACGATGAATGGCTGAGTGAATTAAGCGTGTGATCACATCAAGAATGTCTTAATCCACTCACCCCGTTCAAATGTTTGATCAAGTCGGCGGTAGCATTTATTAACTGGTGGAGGAGATGGATGTTTTGTCTGACACCAAATTAGCACCTGCCATTCATTGGGATGTCGGGGTCGTTTACCTCTCGGGAACACACAAAAGCAGCTCATATGCATTTGAAAACCGTCTGCGAAGCTCAGCATAACCCTGCAACAGCCGAGCAACCACCCAGCACAGTTAACACGTTGATATTAATGCCATGTTTCTTCCTGTTTGTTGAGTGCAGGAGACAAATCTTTCCAAAGTTCAATGCAAAGAATGCATCCGAATATCAAGATTCAGATAGCTCAGCCTTCGGTTTAGATCGTACAAGTCAGAAGCTAAAACATGACTCTTTACATTTCTGGATCAATTGGTAAGTTGGATCGGATTGAGGGTTTAAAACTTCTAACTCGTGTACTGCAGAGAGGGGGATTGTGAACGGATTCAAAGGGAACCTTGGAATCCGATAAGGCTTTGCAAAAAAAAAGGCTGTTTACTTTCAGCTTGTGAAGTTGTCAAATTAGTTCGAAATGTAGCATGTACTTGGTACATTAGTCTGGAGGCTCGCGAAACTGGCTTTGAAGGAGCCCAGAAATGGCCAAATGGCCCTTTTTTGATCTCTCGTGGTCTCTCCTGCGCTTTAAATCTGACAGTCACCTGTGTACAGGCATAGCAGCATATATTTCACCAGGAGGTCGTTAAATCACAGCAGTAACCGAGCAAAATCAAACATTTTATTTCCAGCTTCCTCTCAATTGCAGGAAACGGCACAACAAGGCATTTCCATGTAGCTCGCATAAGATTAACCTGGATCTAGCCAGACCTCGCTGGTCTCCCCAAACTCCTTATGTCCTTGAGTCTGAAGGGTGTTGGGAATCTGTAGCCTCTAAATCTGTCCATAATTTATTTTTTTTGTTGCAGACTTGCTCTGCTCTCAGAGTAAAACGTAACACCAGAGGAAGTGTTCTCTCTTTGGCTTAATTGCAGTTTAGATATTTAAAATGTATCTTCAAGTATTCTTTCACATGTGGTGCATTAAAATATTCAGATATAAGTGCCCTCTCATTACAGTGGAAGTGTGCCATTGATTCGCAATTATAACATATGTGAGGCAGTCTACCCCTCCCCCCCCCCCCATTATCGTTGCAGTTAATTTCTGGCAATATTGAAGTGATTATATCAGAATTGTAATGTTTCAACAAGATTATAAATGTGAATGGATCTGAGTGTCCAGGTTCAGTTTCAGTCATGAAATCTAGCACTGAAAAATGCTTCCACACAGCAGAACAGACTAACGATTTTGTATCAGGGCTACAGACACTATAGGCAATAAATAATTGGTGCTTAGAAGGTATTACAATGCAAATAATCACATCCTAAGATTCAGATGACAAACCACAGTAAACTCGGGATAACTCAGCACTTCAAGGGAAAAGGGCTCAGCAACCAGTTATCCGGTGGCGAGTTAGGCTTAGGTGCTCCCACGCCACAAGGGGGTGCTATGATTGGTGTCAGTGCTCCACAGAGGTTGGGTGCACAAGCTCAGATGTTGACAGAGTAAGAGTGACAAGTTAAGCCAGGGTCTTGTGATCAGGTATTTACTCACTTTCGAGTCTGGTCTTCGTAGGTTTTGAAGCCATACAAAACTTGTATTACTACTATTAATAATAATAATCATTGCATTTTACAAAGCGATTTCACATTAGTCGGATGTCTCCAAGGGCTTCATAGAATTGATTGTAAAGTATACTGACTTTGCTTTTTGTAGACGAGTGTCTGGCGGCCAATGTGTGCACAGCAATGTCCCACAAAAAGCCATGAAGTGAGTGACCAAATTAAGTTGGGAATTGTTGGCCACGCAGGAGAGCCTCCCTTCTCGTTTCAAACGGTGCTGATGGGATCTTTAACTTACACCTGAACCGGCACAGATGGGAACTCGGTTTTAATGTCTTATCCAAAGGACGACACCTCCAACAATGCAGCACAGCATTGTGGAGTCCTGTAGCTCAGTGGTTAGAGCACTCGCTTTGCAAGTGAGAGACCTGAGTTCAATTCCAGGCAGAGGGCGAAACCTTGGGCAAGTTTCCTTACTCCACACGCCTAATAATAATCCCTCCAAAACCAAAAACAATAATTAAATTGGTCATTTTCAATCTACGACTGTTTGTGGGACATTGCTGTGCGCAATTGGCTGCCGCGTTCGCCCACAAATATACAGTCAATTCACTTTACAGTGTGTTCTGTGAAGCGCTTTGGGACGTCCTCCTGACGTGAAAAGCGCTATATCAAAAAAAAAATGCAATGCAATGTCAGCCTAGACGATGTGACTCCGAAGTTTCAATATGGACGTGAACCCACAACCTTCTGTATCAGAGACAAAAGTGCTACCAACTGAGCCGGGCTGACACCTAGTAATAAAAGTGGTAAATACACATGTGTGAATCTTCTTGCCAGTAATAATAATAATAATCCTTGCATTTGATGCAGTACTTTTCACGTCTTCGAGATGTCTCAAAGAACTTCACAGAATATACTGTAACGTGAATTGACTGTACATCTGTGGGCAAAATGCAGCAGCAAATTGCGCACAGCAATGTCCAACAAACAGCTGTTGATTGAGTGACCAAATTATTATTTGTTTACGGATTATTATCCTTGGAAAAGTGATCCTCCAGTCGACTAACAACCGGATGAAGTACCCAAGAGCTGAGAACCCCCATATGTATCCTCACCCACACATGTAAGGGAATAAATTGTTGGAACAAGTGATCATGATCTATGTTTTAGTAAATCATGAAAGTTTTCTTGCATTCCAAGAACAAATCATTTGATCAGTAAAGAAAAGTACCATCAGATGAATCACACATATTGTTTTTCTTTAAAATATTTTCAAACCTCCCCCACTCGAATGAGTCAATGGGAATATCCACCACATGATGATCTAGTATGAAATCTGGTATGGAGCTATGTAATCAGATTTGATCTTTGCTGATGTCAGCCGGAGTGGTGGTGAAGGTGTCACAATCAACCACATTTTCTGGGCTAAATAAACAAGGAAAAATCGCACAATCTTTTCACTCCTGGTCACATTGCGCCTTTCACATTTGGAGGACGTCTCAAAGCGCTTCACACAGCTACATGGACACACAAACTTGGGGACGGGAAAAGATGATGAACAACACAGTCAAAGAGATAAGTCTTAAGGCAGACTTATAAGGACAGGGAGTGGGCATGACTGTATAGCCCTCAACCTCTGAAGCAGTCAATTGCATGTCAGCTTGACTCAGTGGTAACGCTCTTGCTTCTGAGTCAGAAAGTTATGGGTTCACATTCCACATCGGACTTACAAACTCACATATTATAAGCTGACTCTCCAATGCAATGCTGGAGTGTGTTGCATTGTCTAGAGGTGTGGTCCTTTGGATGAAACATTAAACTGAGGTCCCGTCTGCCTGTTCAGACAGACGTTAAAGATAGATATGCCACTATTCGAAACGAGAAGGGAGTTTCTCCCATTGTCCTGGCCACTAAATCCCTGAAATAAAATTGATCACTCTCTCCTTGTCTGTAGAGGTCTGTGGGACATTGTTGTGTGCAACTGGCTGATGCATTTGTCCACCTAATACACAGCCAATCCACTTTATAGTTTATCCTGTGAAGCACTTTGAGACCTCTCAACAACATGATAAGCATTATATCAAATGCAA